GCAGCTGGTATTCCCAAGTGGTCACCCATCTAGGTACTAACCAGGCTCAACATTGCTTAACTTCATTGATCATACAGGAGCTGATTTGAAAGGGTTCAAAATGACTGAATGAGTGAGAAATTGGGAAAAAAAAATCATTAACTCAAAGAATGAGAAACAAATCATTGAGTCAAAAAGATTAAAATGAACGAGAAAGTGAAAGAATTTGAAACAAATAAATGAGAATTAGAAATGCAATGCATAAGCAAATGAAAGTGTTAGAAATGAATGAATAAGTGAATGAAATTACATTATGAAAGAAGGAATTACTTGAAATGTGAATGAATTCCAACAAACAAGAAACAAAAATTCAAAATGTATAAGCAAAAAGCTGGTATTTCCAGCCACACTAGATTTAGCAACAAAAGATTGTTTTAACAAGATTCCATAACAAATACATGAACTCACACAAGTATACATTACAAACTCACACATGTTGATGTTTAAAAACTAGTTTCCTTTGACAATGTGTATCAAATAGTCATCAGCCCCTATATCAGGTACTGAATGTCTAGCAATTTTCTACTTTAACCATTGATAATTATAGCAACTGAAGAAGATGTTTCACCTGAGGGTTTTTTCTTTCATTTTTATTTAGTTTTTAAAAATAAAGCCATTCTCATTTCCACCATCAACATACCACTTTTTAACTGTTTGATCTGCTTTTTTAATACTAGTTTTCTTCATAATCTCTTTCAGTCTATAAGCCTTGATCTTTTATTTATTGACCGATAATGTCTCCTCACTTTATGCATTCAGTTCTTCTTCTTTTTTTGTTCCTGTTTTAGATAATCCCTTTTTGTTTATGTCTGAAATGGTCATTGGCCTGCAACAACCACATAGATACAAAAATGGCACTGGCCCATACCCCTTTCATTATGGCACTGCACTTTACCTCATTCATTATGGTGTATTGCTCCTTACCCCTTTCATTGGATTTGTAGAAGAGAACCAGTATATCTCACATGCTCACCCACTCAACACTACCCAGTGAACACACAATCTCCTTTCCTGCTTTTGTAAAAAAATTTTACAGTTCATTAACCTTTTGAAAAATGGGAGGTTTCTGTTTTTTTCCAATATGTCAGATATCAGTTTTTGTCTTTTCTATTTTAAAATAAGTTTTTACTAATTTTTTTTTTTTTTTTTTTTTTTAAGGAAAGGTTCTGAGAGTTGCTGTGGTGTCTATTCCATCAATTTTGTCTAACAAAGAAAATAAAACAAAAAAAAATAATGCTTGTTTACAGTATCATTGGTGGCAAAGGTTCAGGTAGATTGGTGAAGTAGAGAAATAAAAAATAAAGGTCCTTCTAATTTACCTTTTATTAATTTCAAAGAAATTGTTTGTTTTCTTTTACTGTTTTTTTTTTTTATCATTTTCACTCCTCAGTCTATTTTTATGGTAGTAAGTTTCCATTTGGCTGATCAAAAATTATGGGGATAAAAGTAAACATAAAAATGAAATAAAAACAAAACAAAACTTATTTAGATTCATTTTCAGGCAGATTTTGTTTTTGTTCATTCACTTCAACAGAATAATATCTGTAGTTTCTAAAAATAAAAATTAGTAACCCTAATAAAGAGGAAATTAAATCAAAAGCTCATATTTTGTGGCAGAAATGATAGAGAGAGAATGGTGGTGGTGGTGGGAGAAAGGTATCATACTTATAGTGGCCATTATCAATGACCACATTCAAATACAGTGTTATCGCTTAAGATCTATTGAATAGCTGAGAGTGGTGTAGGTTTCCCACCTGGGTTCAAACTCAGGTAGAAAAAGCCAAGTTTTTCAATGCTGATTTTCAAAGTTGATTTTATCCACTGTTTCCTGTTTAGAATTGGGTCTCCAGTTCATTCTAAATTCTTTTCCTTCTGTTTCACTTCTGGTGACCCTTCATTGTAAACTTAACCTGTCACAGCAGTATTTATACCCTACTATTTTACCTTTTAGATTTATTCAGAAAAAAACAGGTATCATCTGGACATTGGATTCTGAGAAATGGATAAAAATATTCAAAATTGATGGGTGTATGAATAATTTTGTCATTGACTATGAGTGTATATATATATATATATATATATATATATATATATATGTATGTATAAATGATTTCTTTTATGACTATTTGTTCATATTTATAAATGTGTATAATGATGTGCAGCTACATGCATTTATACATCTCTTTGTATGTATTTCATTCAAAAGTTTCCTTTCCCCACCAAAAAACAAACATTAAAATATGACAAGTCAGTTTCTTTCTCTCTCTCTCTCTCTCTCTCTTTCTCTCTCTCTCTCTCATTTTCCTTTTCAGTCTCTTGCACATTCCCACAGTCAAATTCTCGATCTCTCTCAATTTCTACACTTCTCAGTCATTCTATTTTGGAGTTCTTTATAAAGATTTTTTTCATTTTATAAAATTTTAAGGAACATTTTCAGAGAAAATTTCTCATTATCACATTAAAAAATGCGTCTAGTATCAAGTGGTTGTATCTACATATTAAAAAAAAAGGATATTTAGTGTACACTTCTTTCTCATCTGATCCTCAGAGTTGAGCAATATAAACCTGGGTTTCCATTTAGGTCGGTTACCTTCCAGTATCTGTGAATCAGTTGATATTTTCATTTGTGCTTAGATTCTTACTGTACATGTAGGAAGTGTAATGGTTAACAAGTTACAAAGAGAAATCTAGGACTTGAGTGAATTCCAGCCAAGTTCATTACATTTCCTTTCACATAAATAACCTTTGGAAAGGTATGAGTCCATCTCTTCTCCCCCAGCTGTGGGTTAAATATTGGAGCTTACTAGACTCTCTTGCTTTGAGAGGAAAACCAGTCTAGAAAGAAAACCACCCTGAAGATAGATTGCTATCTTACCTTAGACACACCAGTGTTGCTACAGCTACAGTACTTATAACTGTGCCTAGATTCTTACTATAAAAGTAGGAAGTGTAATGTTATAATCGGCTTTGTCGTGCTTGAATTAAAATTCTTGTTGAGAAATTGATGTCACAGATTACTTCCACAATGAAGAAAACAAATTGCAAGTTCAAAATCGAATATCAGGGACAGAAAAAAAATGTCGAAATCTCGATTCGCAGGTCCTATGTCACAAATCCCAATGCATGTAAACAGTCAGAAAAATAATACACTCACCGATAAATGTGGTAGTAAAATAAACAAATTTTTTCCTCCCAATTCAAGAACACCAACTGCTTTTATCGATGGAACATTTTTTTTCATTCATTGACAGCTGGTAGAGGATACACAATATTAGCATATCTGAAATACTTTTAAGGCGACTCCTGCGACTGACTTGTTTCTATTTTGAATAATACACACAACATACTGTTGCTTGGTTTGATGAGATAATTTGCCGTTTTCTTCACTACAAGTTATAAAGATGAATCTGTGACTTCAGTGAATTTCAGCCAAGATCATTACATTCCATTTCACATAAATAACCTTTGGAAAGGTATGAGTCCATCCCTGCCCCAGCTAGAAATATATTTAATAGTTTTTCAGGTTTTTTTTTGTTTTTTTAAGCATTTCACCCTAAGCAAGTGGGGAGTGCCACTAGCATGCAAGGAGTTATAGAGAGTTAGAGCAAAAGTAAAGAGGTGTGTTTGAGGAAAAAATAAAGAGAAGGAAGGGGATCAAGATCAAGGCATCAGATGATGTCAATTGACATTACATTTGAATATTTGAAGAATATAGCTATCAGGAAAGCAAGTAAGAGGAAGGGAGTTCCACTGTTGGGAAGTGCGAGAGAAGAAGAGGCAGTTACATTTAACTGTTTCAATAGGGAAAGGGTGGAACTGAGATGCCAACCTAGTAGCACACTTAAATTCATGCAGTTGGGGTACCAGTGAAAGTATCTCATGAGAGTAGTTACCGTGAAAATATTTGTAGAAAAGACAGAAGGAAGCCATAGCACATATGTAAGAAAGTGACTGTAGATGAGATGCCAGATCAGGACCTATCACATTGTATATCCGTCTTTGGATTTTGTTAAGAACCTCAAGATTAACAGCAAGGGCACCAGACAATATATGGCAACAGTATTAAATGCAAGGACAAATGGTAGATTTGAAGCTTTGAAGGATGGAATCAGATGAGAAAAACCTTCTTGCATGACACAGAGAACCAACTTTCCTTGTGGTAGATGAAGCTATTGATTCAATGTAGTTATTCCACTTTAGGTCAGTGGAAAGCGTGAGACCAAGAAGGCGCAGAGGGATGCTCATGTGTCTCTATGGTGGGTAAATAAGAGCAGTTTCATTTTGGAGGCATTAAAGTTTGCAAGTCATTTCCTGTCCCAGTCATCCACAGATTGGAGGTCCTTTTTGAGATCAGCAGCCAGGTTAGTTTTATCAGTGATTCTGGATTTACTATTGAGACAGCAGTATATGGTAGTGTCATCTGTGTAGATGTCTACTTGAGAACTGATGACATCAGGAAGATCATTGATGAAGATCAGAAACAGTGTAGCACCCAGGATAGAGCCTTGAGGAACACCAGCGTTCATATGAAAGGAACTAAAGACCAAAGAGTAAAAATTCTGGATAAGAACATTAACAACACTCATCCGAGTAAGAGAAATTCAGTTTATCTTTAAAATCATTATTCAATACCTTTTATTTTTATTTTTGCTTATTTTTACTTGTCTTCAAAAAAAAAATACAGGGCTGGAGTGAAAAGACAAATATACTAATGTTTCAGTGACAAAGCAACGACTTTGAATAAAATAAAAAAGAAAAGTTTGTTTTATTTCTTTTACATAAAAAATATTTTTCAACCTAGCCATGGTCCTTATCAATGCATATAACCTAAGATAATTCCTGCACCTGCAACAATAAAAATCTCTAAAAATACACATTTTCAAATATTGATAGAACCTTCAAAATCTATGAATGAATGAAGGTTGACTGTAGCCAGGATCACCAAGTCAATGTCAATTCCATGATACTTTCCTTAGTTGCATAATATGTGTGTTGCAAGGGCTACAGAGAGCTATTAATTCAGAGTTGTCCTTCTCCTAGAATG